TATTTAAATGGTCTTAGAGAATTTTATATTTGCTAATGTGAACAACACAGTAGATGGAAATTGATGTTATCATTTAGAGAATTACAGTAGTTTATGAATCCTGGGGCTTGAATTTATATTAATTACTAGGGTAATTAAGGGCCTTCTGTGTATGTATATAAATATGTATATGTGTGCGTGTGAATATATATATCTTGTGAAAGCTGGAACCTGTGTAAAGCAGAAACCAGTCAGGGAATGGAAACCCAACTCCATCCCATTATTAGCAAGTAGCCAGACTGCACCTGTCAAAGTGGGAGGGAACTTGCTTTTGGGGAACACTTCTAGCACCATTAGGGGCACTTCATATAGGTCCCAAGGAGCGAGTCAAGGTTTGCAGTCTTGCAGTAAGCATGATGAAAAATATACCAGAACCATGAGAGACCACTTTCTACTGCGTTACGGAATCGAATGGCAGGACAAACTGCTCACATGGCGGTGATGAGGCGTTGCAGGGTGTTTTAAAAGGATACCCACAACTCATGAACTCACTGCAATGGTGGCAGGAGCTGTGTGAAACGGTTGCTGTGGTACATGCAGTACATACCACCGTTACGATCTTTACATTGGTTTACATTTCCCCGGACGGAGAATGAGTCCATGGTTGTGTGAAAGACACGCTTTCAGTTTCTGCAGTAGACTTTTGTAGAACTGATGGTAGTGAAAGACAAAATAGACTCCAAGTCAAAGCCAAAGTCACTGTCATTGAGTCAATCCTGACTCAAAGCAACCTTATGGACAGAGGAGAGCGGCCTCAGTGGGTTGTAATATTTTTTAAAAACAGTTTTATTGGCACTTAACTCACTTATCACGCAATTCAATAGATCAGTCATATCCAGAAGAGTTGTACAATCGTGACCACATCCATTTTAGAACACTTTCTCACCCCACTCCCCTTGGTTATGAGTTGTGTAATCACCATCAGTTCTAGTGCTCCCTTCCCACTCCTGCATACATGATTTGCTCCCCACCCCACCCCCTCACTCTCCCTATCTCCCACTACCTCCCCCTACCTCCCCTGTAAGCCCTCACATCATTTCTCGTCCCTATGCATCTTACTCCTTCTGTGCTTCACAACCTGGAAAACCCAACAGAAACAACATAAAGCTGTCAGGATAAAATAAAAAGAATACAAAGATAACAATACAAATAATGAATATGAAAGGGAAGGCCACTGTGAATATTTAAAAGGCCAGGGAAGAAATGTTTTGTCATGGAACTCACAAGAAGTACTTGCACTTAAAGAATTTCAGGTCAAGAGGGAGGTCAACCAACCAGCTATCAAGTTCAATCCAGGAGGGTGCAAACCTTTATGGGAGCAAGACAGCCTCATCTTTGTTCTGTGGAGCTGCTAGTGGGTTCAAACTACTGAATTAGAGGTTAGCAGCCCACCAGGTCACCTACTGCGCCACTAGGGCTCTTCTTTTTCTCTATGTAAAGAGAACATTTATGAAGTCGTACATGGGACAAGGACAAGATAGCCACAGAGACATTTCATGTGCATGAGGGAGGTCACTAGCCCGAGCCAAGGTTGGCTGAGGCACAGAGCTTTACCATGGACATGAGCGGTTGAAGGAAGCTGTCACCCAACACAGGTGGCGGCAGGTCAGTGCATCGTGGTTATCCGTGGCACACCCACAGTGAGGTGGGAGGGGCAGTTACTCTTACTAAAAATAAAAAAATTCCGGACTAGGCAGTTCATCTGCGAGTTTTTCCAAATTGTCACAGATCACACCAAAACCTTCCCAAGGTGGGGGGAGAAAAGGGGAACCAATCGCTGTGATCGATGTATAACCCCCACCCAGGGTGATGAATAATAGAAACATGGGTGAAGGGAGACAGCGGACGGTGTAAGATATGAAAATAACAATCTTTTATCATTTATCAAGGGTTTATGAGGGTGGGAAGGGGGGAGGGAAGGGAAAAAAATAAGCCGAAACCATGGGCTCCAGTAGGAAGAAAATGTTTTGAAAAGAACATTTTGTACAACTTATGTACAAAAGTGCTTGACACAATGGATGTGTGGATTGTTACAAGAGTTGTAAAAGCCCCCAATAAAATGATTTAAAAAAACAACAAAACTTTCCCAATATATTCACTGGAAAAATTCATGTTGGGCCCATACATTCAAACCCATCTTGTTTAAGGATCAACCGTGCTATATTCCTGACCACTTGATTTCTGCTCCTCCTGACTACCGAGCACCACACCACTGCCTGGTGTGTGTTAGGCATTCTCTCCCAGATGGAAATAAATGGGCTAATGTTAAATATTGGAGACTTTTCAAAGTCAGGTTTGACCAGCAAAGAATAGTTTGCCTACCTGTATTATGTATTAGACTTTCCAGAATGACTATTGTTATATTAGTTTCAAACACAGATGTCAAGGATGATAAACATATATATTTTTAAAACACACACATGCACATATGAAGGCTGCAAGTTACTTTCCAGTGTCCCCTCCCTTTCTTGGGGCGATGTCAGAGTTATCACCAATGTGCAGTGTGTAACCCTTCTGATTAAGGGTGATGGGGAGCTTCCTTTTCTTGAAATAGCTTCCCCTTTCATTACATTTTAATTTTAATTAAAATTAATATTTTAATTAAAATGTTACTTTTTCTAAAAGTCTTTTATCTTCCTGGTCAGGGACATTTATTGGGAACTGTGGTCTTAGAAGAGGATATGAGACATCATTTAATATTCATAAGTACCAGAATAGAGCCTCTATAGCTGACTTACTAAAACCCCAAGGTGTACTGTGTTTATCAAGTGGCTTTAGACCATGACCTTCAAACTTCAGAATTCACAACAGGGCAGCATAGCGAACGCATAGCGAACAGTCTCAGTTTTCATAGGGGTTATGAAAGTGGATAATGCCGGGTAGCCTAATGGAGTTCTGAAAGCATAGTGTGCTTTGGGTATTGCTAAATCAATAGACATAACCGTCACTTAAGTGTGTATATTATATGATGCGTGGTTAATTATAAAATCATTTCAGAATATTTGTCTTCTCAGTGGAATGCTAAAAATACAACTGCAGTGCTTGTAAAAATAGAATTGTTAGAAAAATTGGGAGTGTATTATATGCCGCCACCACCACCCCACCCCACCCCCCGCTTCCCAACTAATCTTAATATTGGGAGTTAGCTACAGATTCTGTTATACATATAATATTATGAACCATGAAATGGCATTTTTCAAAAGCACTTATGTTTGCGATTGATAATAAAATGTTCTTCAGTCCATGAGTCCCATAAAAGCCTATCTTGAATATTTTAAAAGTTTTGCTTCATCTTGCATAAGTAGACGATCAGTGTGCTACTCGGTAAAAATGTATAATTGTGTCAGGAGGGGGAGAAGTTTATTTGAGTGGAAGGACACAAAAGAGCCAGGACTGGAAAATAGAGTTGAATGCTGCAAAACTCTCTATGTGGTTAAGTGTTCTTAACTGGGCAGGGGATGCATTAAAAGTTTTGTGATTTTCACATCATTGAAAAATATCTCAATAATCTTTAGTAACTGATAGCAATAATGGATATTGGTTACTTTTTTTGTAGCTTAAAAAAGAACAAAAGAGGCAGCCTAGGAGCTCTCTTGGGTAAAGTTCCAGCTTTACGGCAGATGAAAACGTCATGTTTAAAGGAACTTGAGTCAGCTGCGGCTGTCTGAAGAATAATGTGAAGGGTCATTTGTGTTTGGTGAACCCAGATAAAAGGGTGGAGAAATGCAGTTCTTTATGACTTGATGGTGTAGGACACTTAATGAGGTTATTTGCTTAATCCTGTTGGTAGTAAAAGCTACGTAAAAATATCCTTATTTCTTTTTCTTAATATGATTTTCATTAAACCTTTACCCAGTGATACCTAGTTGAATACAGCTGTCAGTTGGCCCGGTGTTTTATTTTCAAAATGACCAGACAGTAAAATTGACCTTTTGGAGTGGGGGGGGGGGAGTGCAGAGTTCTATGAACTTTAGTGCATGTGTAGATAACCACCACTGCAGTTAGGATCCAAAATCAGTCCTTCACTTCCAAAGATTCCTTACGGTGATCCATGTTTCCTTGCCTTAATGGAGAGTTGGTGTATTTCCCCCCAAAAGTCACATACATGGAGTCACACTGAAGATGACCATTTGAGATGAGGTGTTTTCACCCAATAAGATGCCATTAAGATTCATTGAAGTTATTGTATATCAGTAGTTATTTTAACATTATTGTTTAATTATTCTTATTACTAAGCAGTTGTAACGGAGCCACAGTGGATTAAACATGGGGCTGCTACCAGGAGGTGAAAGGTTTAAACCCAGCAACCTCTCCCTGGGAGCAAGATCAGGCTATCTGCTCCTGTAAGGACTGACAGGCCCGGAAACCCTGGGGAGCAGTTCTACTCTGTTCTGTAGGGTCACCGTGAATAAGGATTGACCTCAGGGCAACAGATCGGGTCTGAAGTGGTTAGTCAAAATGTTATGGCATTTGTAATCATTTCCGATCTGATCAATTGACATGGAATTTTGAGTTGAATAATAAAAGAAAGAAACAAACTTTATTTTCAAGTTATTTCAAGGCGAGGGCTGTATGTAGCTAAGTGGTTATAATAGTGGGCTGCTAACCTCAAGCTCAGTAGTTCGATTCTACCACTTGCTGTGAGGGAAAAAGATGAGGCTTTCTGCTCCTGTAAAGATTCACAGATTTGGAAACCCGAAAGAGCAGTTCTACTCTGTCCTGTGGGATCTCGGGGAGTCCTCCTCGACTTGATGGCACTGATTTTGTTTCTGGTTTGATGACCTTTTTTAATGTCAGTGCCAAAGACAAGGCAGGCTTTTTCTTGGCTCTGGCTCCAAGCATCTTCCCACCCTGACTCTTTGAGCTTTTGAGAACCAGACAGTGACCCTGGTGATCTGTCTTCATGAGCTTGCTCCCAGATGCCTCCCGGTCTCTGCTCACGGCAGCCTGTTCATTCTCAGCCAGTGACGCTGATGCGCATCAAGTCTGGGCAGCATCGGTTTAGTGTGCTGCTGCACCGAGAGCTGGCTCCTTCTGAATGGATTGAAGATGTAAGGGTTTATTTTTCTCCAACTGCTGAGAATCTAGAGACGGGGAGTGGGGGGGGCTTTTAATAACTGTATATTTTGGCAAGAAAATAGTGGGCTGATTCCTCTACAAACAGGAGCTGATAAGTGCCGCGCCATCAATTGAATGATGAGTTCAAAGTAGTGAGACTGGAGAGGTCTTTATAATTACAGAGCAATAAATGACCTATCACTAAACATGTTCTATTTTCACCGACAATCCACTTAATAATAGAAGTGAAAGCAACGTTACGTTTGTAATTCGAGAGCCTTTAATAAAGCTTTCTACCGTATTAAGAAAGAAGCTACTTAAATTAACATCTGACTTTCATCCTGCATTATATTCGTTTATGATTTGGGTTCTCTCAATTAGGTCTAATGCCCATTTTAATTGACACATTGGCAGAAATACCAAGGGAGAGCAATTCGTCATCCGTAAATCTCTGGTGTTGCAGGACCTGTTTCCATCGTTGGGTTGCAATGCCAAGATCTTGGGCGGGGACTGTGGGGGCATCGCCCTGCCCACGTGTGCCTCTAGCGGTGACTGTGGGGAAAGCAGCGCAGGCCTTCTAACGACCGCCCACTCTGCTCTTCCTTCCCCCAGATTTTAACCTTCGAGACCAAGAACCCAACGGAACTGGCAGAACGCCTGCGCGCCGTGTGTGGCAATCAGAGCAATGCCTACGCCCGCTTGCTTGAATACCGCCTGAACGCCCTGCGCGGACTGTGGAATGCCCAGCGGCAGCTGGCCCTGGAAGAGCAGCACGAGAGGGAGAGCTCGGGTGACGAAGAGACTCTGGCCCTGCTCAAACGCCAGGGCTTGTTGCAGCAGCCCGAGCAAGCCCCCTTTACCTCCCGGGTGGGGCTCCTGCTGGTCTTCCCCCTCATCCAGTCCCAGAGCAGAACAGACCCCTCTCTCTGTAACATCACTGCCGAGGTGCTATTGAACTGCCTTCGCGACTGCCAGCCCTTGAGCCTGACCAAGGAGCCGGCTGACTGTCTCAATGGAATTGAAACCTTGCTGTGCTCTTGGCTCGAGGAGACTTCCGACGCCGGCCGACACATCCCACATAAGCAAAAGGAAAACGCAGCTGCAGCCCTGGTGGCTCTGGCCTGTGCCAGGTAAGGACAGTCGGATGTGCAGCTTGGTTGAGACTCTCGACCGCTGTACCTGGGTCTGGATGAGTGAAGGCAGCAGCAAGCGTCTGATAGGCGTCTTAACAAGGCCCTTTGTTTGCTCTCTTGAATGCCACTGGGGCCGGGACAATGCCTGAGATACGTTCTCCAACACTCGGCACCAGTGGCTGAGCTGGAACCATGCTAACAGCTTAAAAGGAAGCCCAGCCCTTGCCACAGTCTCCTTGGCCCTAGGAGCATCCGGGCTGTAGTCAGGATGTCAGCAGGGATGTTGTACCTATTGCTTCAGGGAGGACAGTCAGAAGGTCTGTGGAGTTTCCCCCTTTTTGTCATGTCTCTATAAGGAGAGCAGCAACCAGTTGGTGGCTGATTCCTCACCTGGTCCATCTCAGTCTTTGCAGCCCCTTTCTGGACCCTGATGCTTGCCTCCATCAATGCAATAGAAGGATCTCTCTCTGTTTCTCCAAATGCACACACACACTCACGCACACTCAGTATTATGCTGTCCTTTTTGTACACGTTGATGTCATTGATGCGCTCGCTGTCACTAAGAAATGGGCCTGGCATTGCTTTTCCAAGAAAGGATGTGTATCATCTCCTCCCTCAGTAACCTGTGTGATCACTGGCACTAGGTTTTCTTTAAGCCAATCAGGAGCGTCCTCTAGAGGCCCATTGGGACCATGGTCGGACCAGGGTCACTAGTTTGCCCCTCTCCACTTCAAGCTTTTCTTTGGGTTGCTCTTGTTTTCAGCAGAGTGTATGTGGAAGAACTCTTCTTGGAGGTTCATGACGTTCTTAGCCAGAAGGCTTTCCCTGTGTTTTTCTCTGTGTGGGTTCAAGGACAACCAGATAGTTGAACCTCAAGCTGTTTCTCAGGTACAACGGCGCCAGTACTTACTGTTGGGTTCTTTGCCCTGAGCCAATTGTCACGGCCTCCTTTTAAGTCTCTGAAGGGGGTAGCTGCCTGTGGACATCCTGACTGTGAACTTGGTTCTGGAGACATCGTGGTACTGGCATAGGGTTCCCTATGAAGGCTTTCCTTGGAATTTACAAGGGTGCTTCCAAAAGTTCGGGGAACAATGGAATTGAAAGACAGTGGGATCTCCCCACAAACTTTTTGAAGCCCCTTTGTCTTTGTGTTTAGCATCTGCAGAAGCCAAATTTGAGCCCTAAAAAGATTTGTTATTAAGGCAAACATCCCCTTTAGAGAATTCGCTTTCAGATGGGTCTATTTTCAGGCAGACTTAGGGTGTTAGGAAGAATCATTAACTCTTGTCTCCAACATTTGAAGTTTTAAAATACGGGATTATAGTACTCACTTTCTGATTATGCCCCCCAATTCCGTCTGTAACACAGGTAATTGTAATTGTTTCATGCACTTGAGATTCAAAATTCAGAAATGGTGAAATGAATATTTTTATTTCCCCCCCAGAGATCCCCCCGCCCTTACAGTGAATGCTAACACCTTGGTTTGGACTTAGTTTACTCCAGAAATTATCTTTTCAGTGTTGGATGATCCCTCTAGTGAAGTTACTAGGGCTAAATTATGGTTGTGGTTGATGGTCTTTTCCCACAAATTACTATAAAGACATTCACTTACTCATTTAACCAAAATGTTCATATTGACCGATCATCTAGCTGTTAGGGATCTACTGACTCATGTCGTGGTCTCCACCCTGATGGCGCTGAATCGTGGACAGACTCAGGGTCGCTCACACTGCCAGCAGTCTTTGTTCACTCCCCACGTATGAGGCATTCTTCTCGGCAGTAGCGATACAGCTGACAGCAGGACAGGTCACTGTCTCTGATGTCAGAGTTCACAGCAGCGTATGGGAGGTGGATGACAAGAACAAGGGAGTAACCCCCCTAAATAGATTTTTCCCCAAAGCTATATATTAAAAAAAATTTTGTTTACACAAAAGAACCTTATCACCTTCAAAATACTCTCCATTGCACTTAATACATTTGTCAAATCCATGATTTCATTCTTGGAAACATGTTTCAAACTCCGGATGGCTGGATGGCTGATGGCACCTCCCTCGTTTTTTTTCTTCACCTCTTCTAAGTCATCAAATCGCTGTCCTTTCATGTCCCTCTTCATTCATAGAAACAAAAAGAAGTCACAGAGAGCAAGGTCAGGTGAGTAAAGTGCATGGGGAAGGAAAGGCATACTATTTTTGCCAAAAACTGAGATGGTGGTGTGAGCAAGTGCATTGTCATGGTGACAAGACCAGTCTCCCATCTGCCACAAATCAGTCCTTTTTTGTCGTACACTGTTTTACATAATCTTTTCAGAACCTCTAAATAGAAAGCTTGAGTAACAGTCTGACTTGGTTATGAGTGAACTCCAAATGCACTAAGAGTCTGTCAACATTTTGACATTTCACCTTTTTTGAAATGAGAAAAGCACTCATACACTTGAATTTTTCCCATAGCACTGTCCTTGTAAGCTGTGTTCAACATCACAACAGTTTCTGCAGCACCCCCCATCCCCCACCCCCACCCGCCAAGCAGGAAACAACTGCTTGCTGCTCTCTTAAGTCAACCATCACCAAAAAAAAGGTTCGAGAAAAAGCATGTTTTAAAAAAAATTCATTGTGACCAGAGAGAACCTTCCCAGGCGACGCCACTGGGTGCACTAACTCAGAGCGAGTTGCTTGATGCTTGCCTAGTGGGGAAAATGCGTACTGTGAAAGCTCCACTCCAACAACACGATTGTGGGGGATCCCCTCGTATGTGTGTTGGATCATTTGGGGAAGGGGTAAACACCCCAAAGCAAAGCAAAGGAATTTGTGATAAATAATGAGGGGGTGGTGCTGGTGCTGGTGCTGGTGCTGGTAGAGCATGAAGAATGGCAGCATTAGCCAGAGCGACAGGGGCAGCCTGGTTGGAGAGTGACGTTGGAAGTAAGGCCTGGATGGTGAGAAATTGCCAACCAGGCAAATAAGCTGAGAACAGCAAAGCGGGCAGGCCAGCTGGAACGTGATGAGTGACCAGAGAGAGGGATAAGAGATGCATCCCAGATCCTGTGGGGCCTAAGAGTCATGGTGGGAGTTTAGATTTTACTCTTCAAATCTGATGCGCTCTCTCAGGTAGTCTGATACCGTGCAGTTAGCTAATGGTTTGAAACTTCCCAGCATGCCCTGACCTTCATTGGAGCCTGGCTGGGCCCCCGGGCTGGTATCTCTCTTGGGAGGACGAAGAAGCAGAATTCCCTGGGAGTTAAATGACCGACTGAGCTGGTGTAGCGGGGAGTGCAGAGCCAGGTGTAAGTGCCCTGGCTCCCAGCTTTGCTTCTCTCCCCTCAACCCCGCCTCCCTGCCTTCCAGGCTCTCTGGTTTTGCTTCTCGGAACACACGAGATGGTAAAGGGCCAATTAAGAGGAGGACCGTTCCATCCAGTGTTAGGTATTCCATTTCTTGTGGGGTTTCGGTACATGATACCTTGTGATTAAAGCTTTGGCCAAGAGAGTCAGGCAGCAACCCTGAGTCAGCCCATCTGATGCAGGTGATCATTTAGTCCAGGGAAGATTCCTCGGGTGGTTTATGCTTGGGACCTGGCCAGGTAAGCCTTGTGCATCTAAAAAGCACCTTCTTTTAGATCCTGCTGACCTTATCGCGAACTTCCCAGAGGCTCCAGGCTTGGGAAGCAAAGGATAACGATGGTGCCGTGGTGAGCCCTGTAAGCGGGAGGTGAAGATGCCCACAGCAGGCGGACACCGAAGGGGGAAGCTTTTGCCACAGGACATTAGCTGTTTAAATGTGCTGCTTTGGGTCATCTTTGATGTGATGGGGTATAATCAGATGTGATGTTTAATCAATCACCGGAACAAAGATAATTAGATGTGGTTTTTTTTGTTTTTTTTAATTAGATGTTTTTTATCAAGCCTTGAAAGATACATTTTAAAATACCATATATACTCATGCATAAGCCGATTTCAGCACATTTTTAATGCAGTTTTTGTGGTGCATGTAGGTGCCTCGGCTGATATTAGGGTCGGCTTATACTGGAGTATGTATAGTAGTCTCGTGCTGGGAAATCTCTCCTTTAGATTTAGAGGATGTCTTGGTGATGAGGCAAAAAACCAAGCCACAATTCCTGTGCCTTTAAGTCCATTCTGACTCACAGTGACCACAGAGGGCACATAAGAACTTCCCCTGGCGGCCGTCCAGCCTTATAGGAGGAGACAGTCTCCTCTTTGTCCTGCAGAGAGGCGGGTAGTTTCAAACTGCTGACCCTGGCAGTAGGCAGTCCAGCATGGAACCCACTACACCACCAGGGCTCTTGAAGGCAGTGTCCAGACATCAGAGCCAGGTGCCCTTTCTGCTGGAGATGTAGGTTTTTGCCTTCTGTGTCAGGGGAACATGGTTCACCTTTACAAAGCCTGGAAAACAGCCTAAGAGGTACGGTGCCAAGGATACGATAATTTTCCACATGATGGTGCTAGACAGGAGTCGGGTATATTTTGTACAGTGCATAGTCTGATGGGCATAAGGACATGTCCACAGTTTAGACTGTTCATGTAATTAATACAAATAACATTAGTAACCTAAATCATTTGACTGTCTGTGATTTTCTATTCTCTTTTTTGTTTGCTTGTTTGTTTTTAGGGGATCATTGAAAACGTTCGTTCATACAGTGCATCTATTACAGAAACAGACGGATGTAGGGTCCCTGCCTGTAGCTGATGTCTTATATAGGTAAGTTGTCCCTGGAGGGCAGTTTTGCACCAAAGACTCTTGTAGTCAGTAGGTGACTGAACTGGGATGTAGTGCTGAACCGGGGAAACCTGAGTTATGAAACGTCCTGTTGATATTTTAACCAATATGTTAATGAGTATATTATAATCACAAATTTTGTGTCATTTTTCCATTCCTTCAAAATATTTCTTGAACATGTTATTTTTCATTTTATTAATTTTTTTTAAAAAGACAGTGGCTCGAAATGAATGTTTATTGTAACATCCGTGATAATAATATATTGAGGTGTGAAGAAGAAAGTGAAAATCGTTTGTAACAATTGTGTGACGTGGACGGAGGACTAATAAAACTGCTACAAAAGGGGAACCGGTCTTTGGGAAGGATGGTTCATGACCTCACTGCCAGAGATGATGATTCTGAATGTTTGGATAGATGTGCTTCTCAGTCCTGACACATCACACGCGTGCTGTCTATGAGGGGGCTTCACAGGCTCATGGGAAAATGTGCATTATCTTTTCATCCCATTTTTTCACAACATTTTTAAAGCTCCCTTGAATAGAGATGGCAATTACACACACATTATAATTATAGCTCTGCTGAAAAAATAATACTAATTTTTTTAGATATGCTAATTTTTAAAATCGTTTTATTAGGGGCTTATACAACTCTTATCGCGATCCATACATATATCAATTGTACAAAGCACATTTGTGCATTCATTACCCTCATCATTCTCATTTCCCCCTCCCTCCTCTCTACCCCCTCCCTCATGAGCCCTTGATAATTTATAAATTATTATTTTGTCATATCTTGCCCTGTCCAACGTCTCCGTTCACCCACTTTCCTGTTGTCTGTCCCCCAGGGAGGAGGTTATATGTAGATCCTTGTAATCAGTTCCCCCTTTCCAGCCCACCTTCCCTCCACCCTCCCGGTATTGCTACTCACACCACTGGTCCTGAAGGGATCATCCGCCCTGGATTCCCTGTGCTAATTTTTATATTAACTGTATATCAGGGAAATGTATGATCTACATGTCATATGTAATTACAACTCTGTGTGTGTGTGTATTTTAGACAACTGTAAAAATTTTAAAGTTTTGTAGTCTTTTTACTTCAAATATTTTGTTAACGCCCTTGCAGACGTCTAAGGTGTTCTGTCAGAGCTCTCGGTCTTGTGCTCTCGGAAGCGGTGGGGACTTGCACGCTCCTGCCGAAGGAGACGGTCTGAGAGAGAGGCTCTGTGATTCTTCTCTCTCTAGGCTGCTGCTCTTGGAAGGGGGCCCTGGCTCGCCTTCCTGTCTGCTGGGTGGCAAACACCTCGTATCCTGGGGCTATGAAGACATGCTGCCCGCACCAGATAGCAACCCTGCCTCCAGTTCTGAAAATAAAGGTAATGCAAGGGTCTTTTGTTCGGAGAGACGTATTAAAGATGTAAAGAGGAGGGTTTTAGGTCGTTGTCACAAAGGACATGGATCTGTGTGTTCCTTTTAATGAAAAGCACACCGTTCTTATACAGTGTGCTCATTGTCCATGTTCTCAGGAAAAGGATAAAAGCGGATACTCTGGGAGGTAAGAAAACAGGTCTTACAATAGAAAGGAACGGTATCACCCATCTACTCCTGCCAAGGGGCATGCCTCACTTAAATTGCCTTCTGGGCATGGCCGCCTTAAGTTGAAAGTTACTATCCGCTCCTAAGAAAATCAGGTCTGAAAATGTAAAAGCAAGAAAAGAAAACCAGATCTGATACTCTTTCTTTTCGTCATTTAATTGCTGAGATGTGTTTACACGGTCCCACCATAGCTCAGGTCACTGTTTCACACGCCTCTCAGTGAGCATGGCAGGGGCTCTCATAATTGCCCTCTCCGTCTCAGGGCAGAATGTCCATCCCCTCAGGGTGGCAGCAGGCCCACAGCACCCGGAAGCTCTGCCCCATATGGTAGGGGCGGGGGGTGGTGGGGGGTCACTCCTGCCCTCCCCAGGAGAGTTGTGGGCTTCCCAGAAATCCACCGTGCTCCCAGACTTGTCTATGATCGTCATCATATCATTAAATATTGCCAGTGAAATGGGCATGCCAACACACACACACACACACACCGCCTCCTTTATAAAAGGCAAATGCTTTGGAAAGACCCCACGTAGGTCAGTAGCTAAGAAAATCGACATTGTTGCAGGGTGGCATTGAGAGCCCCTTCTGTCCAGTCCTCCCCGGTTAGGTCCCACCCCCAGTGGAGGCAGCTGAAGGCCATAGAGCTCCATCTTCACAATAGGCCACCCTGTGCCTTTTCACAATCCACTTGCCCGCCCGCCCACCCGCCCTCGCAGTCAGTCCTGTGAGACTGCAGAGAGGACTAGGCCAGACTTTGTGGAGAGGATTCATGCCCTGTCCAGCCCCCATGAAGGCCTCACATTGTACCAGGTTCAAATATCCATTCTCAGGCAAAACGCATACCTCTTTCATTGTCTCTCTCTTCTACGCCACCCAAGGTGACAGACACCACCACATCCGGTGAGTGGACTGTGAATGTACCTTCACGGTCATCATGTGACCTGAACGCTCACTCTGGAGGACTAATTCTTTGGAATATGTGTTAGCCAACCATGTGCTACCTCACATGGAGAGATACTGTTTATTTCAGCTTGGGGAAGACTCGGCGAAGGGGGAATACTTGCTATTTTTATAAAGAAGAAACAGCCTCCCTTTCTACTCTGTTGCTGCAGAAATGAGAATTAGGGTGTCTAGATGGAAAAGCGGCATTCAGCCCAGGTGTATATCCACCTGCCTGTCCCCCCCGGTTCCGAGACACGGACCTCCTGTAGGCCAACCAGTGTCAGGCGTGGGACCTTCGTTATCTCACTGAGGCAGCGCAGTAACCTTTCAAGTAAACGTCGCTGTACTCATCTCCCAGATGAACAAGCCGAAGCTCAGAGGTCCAAGGTCACCCGTAAGGACCCAAGGCAGCAGAAAGCTCGTGTCTCCCTTCCCCACTAGCTCATCACTGACAACAGTTCTGTGTGCTTCCACAGTCCCGGTTAGAAGGAGGGATGCTGGCTGGTGTTTTTCTCTTCAAAAAAGAAATAAGACATGTCTGGCTCGCCTACTGAGCGCCATCGCCGACCTCTTTGCCCGCGCCTGGCCCTTGATCCCTTGCGCACTGGAGGTGTTGCTTTTGGGATTTCTGAACCCGCTTCCCCGAAAGGCACATTGACACATACTTTAGACGTGGGAGACGATCTGTCCCTCAACCGCCCGAAGCCTTTGTCATTAGGAAAGGCATGCTTGCACACACGTGAGAACGAGCATGTGGGTGCTCACCTGTGGAAACTGCTTGCAGATGCTGACCTGGGACGCTGCCTCACAGCAGACGGTCTGTACCTGTACACAACCAACTCGGTGGGGAGAGGAGTGAGCAAACTGGGCTCTGGATTACACGGTACTCTCAGGTCAGTTGCGTGGCGCTTGCCGAAGGACTCTCCTGAGCCTTTCCTCTGTGAAGAAAAGACCTTGGGGCGCAGACTGGCTAGTGGCCCAGAGATTAGTGAGACAATTCGGAATGAAATCGCCCCAAGCTCCTGGTTCATCTCCTAGTGTCCCCTTCCCTCTCCCTCATGCTCTCTGACTGGGTTTGAGCCCCATGTCCATCCCAGCAGCCTTGGGTGGCACCGGCAGGTCTTGTTTCCAGTCAGACCCTGCTCCAAGATCCGAATTCCCCTGAGAACATCCCTGACTCATCCAGGCTGAGCAGTAGACATTTTTCTAGTTAAATCTTTTGGCCCTTGGATTCAGAGTTCGTTTCCGTTGAGATCTAAGACCTGTAATTGCTACCAAAGAAACCACAGTTTGAGATCCAGGTTATCTAGTTAGTTAGGCTGACCCCCACCCCCATCCCCCAAAGTTTTCTCCTCTCTAATTAGTTGTTTGACATTTATTATTTGAAAAAAATTTTTTTAACGAAAGAAATGTAGTATTGGCTGTGGTTTGTCAGCCTGAATGTTAAGGTAATATGCTCACAGCCCTGTAGGTGCCCTGCCTCCGGTGGTCACTTTTCCCGGTGTGGCAGGGGATTCTGTTCGTTCTGTTGCAGGCATAGGGCTGCAGCTGAGCCCATGTCCCCCTTCTCTTCCGCAGAGGCTTCGTGTACTGCCGGAACGAGGAGCTGGAGCCCGGGTGGGTGGCTTTTGGCAGCGGCAGTCTCCTTCACCGGCCTGTGTCTTTTGATAACAAGCCTCACTCCCTTTTCCAGGTCATTGACCAGAATACGCTTCAGGTAAGCAGAAAGGGGCAGCATTGTCCTTTGTATTTTGGATCCAGCAGGTAGGGAGCGAGTGCAGGCACTGTCTTTCATGTTTTGGATCCCTGTGGAAGGGAAGGCTCCGCCATCAGCAGAGGCAACACTTCGGGTGGTAGGCTTTGCCTGCCTGAGCGGCCTCTTTCTCCTCTTCATCGTTTCAGTGTTGGGATTCTTCCCCAGTGTCTTGGACTGAGCACTCTCCAAGTGACTAAGGCCAACAACAACAACAACCACAATTCATGTGTTTGGTGCTGCAGTGCTGCTACCCCAGAAATACCAAAGTGGGCGAGTTCTGCATACAGAAATCAAGTTGTTCCCCGTGGACGAGACGGGCAGTCCGAATTCCGGGTGACAGCTCAGGGCGGGTGGTGCCGCCTTCAGCCTTCATGTCTGATCAGGAGCCCTGGAGGCCCAGTCACGAACTTTAATTTGTTATCACGCATGAAAAGCAACAGCCACCTCCTCCAAGGGACGAGATGGTATAAGCAGATACTAGCCGGTTATTTATTATTGCCATTTTGTTTTGTTTTGTTTTGTTTTTCCTGTTTCACCCGATCTATTTTGGGATGGCCTGGAGGCTTTCTGTGCCCATACAAGTTTACGGTCTCAGAAACCCACAGCAAGGTTCTGCTCTGTCCTGGAGGCTCACGATGAGTCAGGATGCCTGGACGGCTGTGAGATTGTTGTGTGTCGCTGCCCTAATCAATAGGTTCCGAGCAGCCGTTCAGTGGACGGGGAGCTTTGAGATCAGTTCAGAATAAAATAACCATGTGAGGGATTAAGTGGGCCCTTTAGTGTTCTGTGTGACAGCGCTGGCTCCATTATCCTGAAAGTACCCACTCCCTGCCATATCCTAGAGACCATTCGTTCTAGAATCTGCTCTGCTCATCTTTGTATCCCTAGCACCCAATATCTCATGACAGTGACTACCCCTTATCAGTCCCTCCCACTGTAGCGGGGCCCGGCCAACGCAATTTCCAGACACTCCCTATCTGTGGCGTGTGAGTGTGGTGGGCTCATCTTACAGGTCAAGCAGTTAAGGCTAGGCCCATTGTAAGTATTCCACTCGTTTATTGTGGAATCAATGAATACAACCAAGAGGTCACATCACTTGTCCAAGCCCACACAGCCGACTAGCAGAGCCAGACCTCGAACCAGTGGTTCTCAGCTTGAGTTGAGCTGAATGGTGAGAGCCAATATCTGTGGAGTGAGAACCCGGAGGGGTTCCAGGGAATAAATGGGATACTTTCTTTTCTTTTTTTAAGCAAAAGGGAAGAAATTTATTGGAGCCCCTACAGAAAACCCTAGAGGGGCCCAGCATCCCCTACTGAGTAGGCATACCCAGGCAAAGGGTCACACCGTTCACTGTACCCCCATGTCCCAGAGGGACTCCCCTTGAGCCGAGCCCTAAAGCCCCAACACTGGCTGGGGGTGGGGAAGTGCTGGCCCCTCCGGGATACTTCCCTTTCTTTTTCCTGTCCCTCACCTGGGCCTTTGCTTAGAGAACAGAGTGGTGTTCATTGTCTCTCCAGAGCTCGGAATAGATGCTCTGTGGTTATTGAGTGAGTAAAATGAAAGAATCAAATCACCGATGCCCAGTTGGCTTGATTCCTCATTACGAAAGCATGCAAATAAGAAATGTCTTCTTGTGTGCTTTTTTGGAATAGAAGTATTAAGCCTAGGAGTTAGACAGATGTCAAATTTGGGGCCGTGGTTGACATTTGAAACAATGTGTTTACATTAGTCGCATCTATGCGGCTATGAAAAATTGACATTGTCCAAGACACCAGTAGGTAGGCCACTAACCAGATGGGTCCAGTGGGAGCAATGTGAGGTGCACTGGGGCCAATCAGCGACTGTCACACTGTTGACACAAATTCCCGACACTACCAGTTCCCAGTGTGATGCCAGCAACCCAATGAGTGTTTATGTTTGAGGCAGACAAAGCACATCTGGACTGGGTGAAACGAAAACTCACTGCCATCGAGTCAGTGCCGACTCAGCACCCTGTCGGCCAGGGTAGAAACGCCCTGTGAGTTTCCAGGAAAAGAAAGCCTCCTCCTTCTCCCTGGAAGCAGGAGGTAGTTTCAAACCGCAGGCCTTGTGGTTAGTGATCCGACTCGTGACCACGACAGCCCCGGAGCGCCTCAGGAACGCGTCAGAGGTGGCTCCCTGGGAGAGCTGGAGAATGCAGAGGGTCCTTCCTGCCCCAGGAGGGCATCTGACCTCTGATGGCTTTTAGTTTAGGTTTCCGGCTCTTGACTTGCTGGTTTTTAGAAAACCTCATCAGCTGTTTTCCTTCCTTCTCAGTTTCTCTTATTTTAAGCGATCCCTGGCTGTAGGAATCCGTATGTAGCTGCACATTTAGTGGGGAATGATGCAAAATGAATTCATTATACTGAAAATGAAGGCTCTTGAGGTTGGGAAATGTGTGTCTTCCTGACTGCTGTCAGGAACTGGTGTTTGCCTTCTCCCCCCACGGTGGACATGTGATTTCAGTAATGAGCCCCCACCTGCCTCCATTTCTCTCTGATGTCACCTGCCTTCCTTCTTCCTCTTTTCTGCCCTCTGTCTCATAGATATATCATTTTTGCCAGCAAACCTCTACCTTTCACTCCGTGTTTAATTCATTTTTTTAGTCAACTTTGAATTAGGTCTGAATTACATGCCAGGGATCTAAAGGTGAATAAGATACAGTTCATACCTCTCAAATATAATTAGTGGCTTTCGATGTTATTTACTAAGGACTTCTCAGAGAGTACTGTTTCTCTAAAACTTTGTGTTTGTAGCCAATGTGAGATGCACACATGCATAGCAGATTCAACATGTTAAGCTAATGCTTTTTTTCTTTTTCTTTTTTAATTGTTTTATTAGGGACTCATACGACTCTTATCACAATCCATACATACATCAGTTGTGTAAAGCACATTGTACATTCATTGCCCTCGTCACTCTCAAAACATTTGCTCTCCACTTAAGCCCCTGGCATCAGCTCCTCATTTTTGCCCCTCACTCCCCGCTCCCCCCGCAAATGCTTTTTTTCTATGTAAAATATAATTTGAGCTTATCTCAAGGATCTTTTTATCAGCTTCTTGACAATTTTTATGTTATTGTCCACTATGTGAATGCTGATCGTTTTGCCATATAACGTGTGTGGAGACAAAGATCGGTCTATTGTAACCGGGAAGCCTGGTGAACTGTCTCATCTTGGAACTGAACTGCCTTGACGGACTCCCTCCGAATCCCCTGTGGCGCTGACATTTCCCTCTCGCACGTGCAGGTGTGTCAGGTGGTGCCAATGCCGGCCAATCACCTCCCTGTAGGCAGCACCATGAGCACGGTGCACCTTTCTTCAGATGGCACGTACTTCTATTGGATCTGGTCGCCCGCCAGTCTGAATGAGAAGACGCCTAAGGGACACTCTGTCTTCATGGACATCTTTGAGCTCGGGGTAGGTGTAGCTTTCTCACTGTCTTCGCCGAAATGTGTTTATTTGCCTCCTCCTTCTGTGGGTTTACAAAGGACCTCAGACTTAGGTCCTCGTCCCGGACGAGTGGAGGCTGTGTCGCGTGTGGTCCCTTAGTCCTTTGGGTTTTGATTGTCTTCCTTCATTTTTGCTCCGGACTGGAAGCAACCTGGAGTTGTTGCTCGGTGGCTGACCCAAGCTTGTAAGAGCCCATCACCACTCACCAGAATAGGATGGAGAACTTTAGTGTGGGCTCTGTTATGTCCATTGACCTTGGTATCCCTGCTAATATTTCTTATGGTATTGTGTTTTTCTTTAACGTTATTTTGCTTATCTTTGTGACATAGTTAAGCATTTATTTCTGGTTCGTAAACTCTAGCTGGGCTCTCCTGCTTCCCCTTTGTAGTAAGATAGCGATAGTACTATTTCCTGTCCTTCGGCGTGAAGAAAGCTAAAGTTAGAGGCCCATGCTCAGGGCAATCCCGAGAGGAAGAGGGATGATTTGCCCACATAAAACCTCTAAGTCTTAGGAATTGGCCGAATCGGATATGGTGGAGGGCCATCGTGCTGTGGGTTAAACACTGAAAGCTTATATCAGAACCAGCCCCCCCCCCCTTCCTGATGCACTTAGCGCGTGCAGTCAGATCCAGGCTACCCTGGCAGAAGACTGGACCCTTGTTTGCTGAAGGAGCAGAATGACCCAGAGACCTCTGCATGCGGGTGTTTGAGGCACGTCTGAGGAAGAGACGTGCTCTCCGGCCCATGTCCACGGAACCCCTGAGGAAGGCTGCACTGGTGAAAAGGGAGCAGACCAGAAGACCCCCAGAGCTTTGAGGGGCTGTGGGTCTGTGTGAGGGGGAGGGGTAGATGAAACAAGACAGGTCTGTCTTTGTAATCAGTAAAGTCTTGGTGGGTAGATAGGAAGCTCGCTATGCTGGTCTCTCCCTCCTTTGTTCGTTTTTGACTCTCTAATTTGTGATTTGGGTGACAGTCTACAAAGCCGCTTGGTTTTCCACTCAGCAGTCCATGCACATTTTGATTGTGACACTGACTGCAATCCCCACACGGTCACAGCACTCCTTCCGCGCCCTCCCTGTGAGTCCCATTTCCTTCGCGCCTTCTGTCTGAGCTTTCAACTCAACAGCAACCCATCAACGCGACCCTGCACCAAGGCCACCCTTTTGATCTTGTGTGGTTGTTTGCTCTAAGACTCCCTGGTTTTCTCAGGGTACTGTATGTACTCGAGTAGAAGCAGAGCTTGTTTGTTTGTTCGTTTAAAATACTTGTATTGGGGGCTCTTACATCTCTTATCACCATCCACACCTTCCTCCAGTGTGTCAAGCACATTTGCACATATGCCGCCATCATCCTTTTCAAAGCATTCTCTTCCCACTTGAGCCCCTGATACAGCTCCCCATTTCTTCCCCTCCTCCCCCGCCATGGTAAGTTATAGATGATCATTCCTACACCTTACATCGTCCTCCCTCGTCCTTCACCCACGTTTCTGTTCTTCGTCCCCCTGGGTTGATTAAGCAGAGCTTTTCAGCACATTTTTTAATGCAGTTTTTGTAGTAAAATTAGGTGCCTCAGCTGATATTCGGGTCAGCTTATACTCGAGTATATTCGGTAAGTTTAAATTTTCGCCTAGTACAGTCACCTGCCCTTATGTCTTATTTTTTTTAAGTTTTTCTTCAAAGGGAAAAATTTTTTTAATTAAAAAAGAAGAGAAAAATAAGGACAGCCGACCGAGGCTCCCTAGACAAAATTGGAACATCTCCAAGATTTAAAAATAAGAAACAAGTCAGAGGCGGCGGCGGGGGCGGCAGCTCACTAAAGAGACAGACGCAGCCCTCCCAGGCCGTCCGGCACCCGCGAGGCTGGAGGGGGCGCAGTGAAACCCAGACGGCCGTCAGGAAGAAGGACAGTGAGAACACGGAAGAGCGTCTGGAAGTGGAAAGTGCGGAGGGCCGGGACGAGGAAAGGATGTCTCGCAGAAAGCAGGACAAACAGATGAGGAACAGTAGACAGCAGGAAAGAGGAAAAACAATCCCGGAAGGCTTATGATGAGGCGTCTCCACCAGAGGACAGGAAAAGTAAAGAGGATGTGACCAAAGAGCACGTTCAGACCAAACGTTAGTGGGCCCACTGGGCACCTGGCACAGAGAAATGAAAAATGTCCACCCCGCAGCGCGACAAATGTCCCCACGTTTCACGTGACCACCAGGCCTAAAGGGAGGGCTCTCTGAAACTTCCAGAGAAGGCAACCTCCTGCCAATGGGGAGGCATTCGAGGACCCCGGTGGTTTTAATGTCGACGCTGGATGAGGAGGGAAGAGCACTTTCAAAACTCGGAGAGAAGTGGATTTCCGGCGTAGAGCTAGATCTGTAGTCAACTCCAATACCAAGCAAGTGTGGTTTGCAGAGACTTTGGGTTATGGAGTTATACAAGTATACCCACAGACCCATGCCTGGCAGGGAGGAAGTCGAGCAACTAAAATTAGCCTCTGCCACCAACTGGAAGGCAGTGTTGGGGAGGGAGAGTCAGCTCTTGCTAAGAGAGCAACGTCTGAGTCATTTTGGGGAGTCAGTCCAGTCAACCAGCGGTAAAGCAAGGTGAGGGAGAGAGTTAGACACTTGCGTCTAAGATGATATGAGCGGAGGCCAAGGGCTTTTTGTGAATTCCCCTTGTAACGAGGATAATGGCTCGGGCAGTGGAAAGTGGCGAGGCTGGTGCAGGACTCGGCAGGGTTGCGCTCTGGCGTGTGTATGGTGGCTATGGGTGGGAGCTGACTCTGGCTCCCAACAACCACAATGACACTGTGGTTATATAAGAAACGGCCCGTGATTGTAGACATGTCGAGGGGAGGAGGATCGGAAATAATGGGATTTCAGTGAGCCAAAGCTGGTGTGGCAACATCAGAATAATCCTTGAATCTGGAGTCTCTCTTTCTGTCAATGCTTGAAATTTTCTTCATAAAAATAATACAGTAAAAAAATCATCACAGGTTGCTAATTTAACACCTTCTAAAATGCTAACTTGGGAGGCTTAACTCAGATACTGGATAATGCCTGTGGTACGGCTATAGAACAAAACACTGTAGCCATTGAAAAGTACGAGGTAGCTGTGCATCTATTGACGTAGATTGGCTGTACTTCACAGTGTAGCTTGGAAATCAAGCTGAAAACACTCTTTACTCCCAGCTGGGTGATCAAAGTTGGGTTGGGGAGGCATGCTTTCTAAAATTGTTGTTCTACTTAACAACTTTCGCCTTCCGATGGATCATACACTATAGCACACACACACAGAGTGTGGATCCTTCACTATAGCACACGCACAGAGGGCGGATCATTCACTATAGCACACACACAGA